TCATTCTTTGCCCTGACTGTGCTAACGTACGCCCCTGTGCATGCTACGCCTCTGCGTCGTCGTCTTCTTCCTCCGCTTCCTCTTCGTTTTCTCTCTTCTCCTCATCCTCCGGTCGTAGCGGCGGCGGCGGAGGAGGAGGAGGTGGTGGTTGCGAAGGAATTGGCTCCGTCGCACGAGTTTCGAAGCTTGTAGAAAGTGAGCCGGCGTTCCAGAGATCAAGATCCGTCGGAATTCCGTTCCTCCGATCGCGAGACAAAAATTCCGCCGCCCGGAGAAATCAGCCGCCGATTTGTAACGACAAGATTATCAAAACGCCGTCGGTTTGGTCGGTTTTCAAGTTGAGTAAGAGTAAGAGAAGCGGAGAATTAAAGAAGGAAGAAGTGAAAGGAAAAGCGAATGTGAAAGCGAATATTCATCATGTCAATATTATTAACGAATTTAGTGATAGTAGAATTGATGATTTTGCGAGGATGATGAATAGATCAAGATCAATGAGTGTGGCGATAACGTCAGTTTCCGGCGCCGGTGAGTCGCCGTCGAAGTCGAAAGGATGGCATTTTCCAAGTCCAATGAAAGTCTTCCGTCAATCGAAACGTTCGCCTTTGTACAGAGGTTGAGTTTTCATTTTTTTTATTTGTTTTTTTCTTTTTTAGTTTCTATTTTTGAGTATTCAGAATATTACAAGGCAGTATTGAGTACTGTATGAAGGAATTTCAAGTAAGTAAATGACAAAAATAGTTTCATTTCTTATGGATATGAATTGTAATGAAATAACAATTGTGCGACTGTTTTAGAAGGAACTGGAAATTTTGCAATACAGTTTCATGTTTATTAGATCTCCATTGTATTTGTCTTCAATTTTCTTCATTTCGTTTTGTTTTTGGTCAATTTTATTTACCATATGGTTTTTGGTACGTGGAATTCTGTATATAAATAAGGACTACAAATTTACAAACAAAATTCTGCATGAAGATGAACAGGGTACTAGCAACGGTTTAGCATTTTGGCCCTTCTTCTCTTTTGGAGGCCCACAGAGCATCATTATCTCAACGTTTTTTTTCCTTTGTTACTAATTTTTTTTCCTTCATATTTACACCTTCGGTATTTACACCATTAATTTGTACTACTATAAATTAGTATTTAGTAGTAGTAAAACTTTCTACAAGTTTAAATGTTTAATGACATAATGTTAGTAGCCTTCGTAGTAGAGAGATTCTTTTACGATATGGTCGATATTCAATTGCTCTCAGGGACTCTGTTCTAATTTGATTTAATGGATCTTAATTCCCTGGACACATATGTCTGGCCTGCATTTTTTATATAATGGTATCGTTTGGTTCAGTTTGCATACATTTCAATTATTCAACCAAGTAGCTTCTAGCGGCACTAGAGCTGTCAAAACAGGCCGGGCCAGCCCAACTCAACCCAAGTCTCGTAGGCTTTTTATTTTGGTGGGTTAGGCCGGCCCGGCCCGTCGTATGAATGAGCCTTAAAATTGCTAGCCCAATCCAGCCCTAAAAGGGTCGCGAGTTAGGACGGGCCGGTCCTTCAATATTTTTTAGAAAAAAGAATTTTTTTAAATCCTTAAATATTTTTTCATGACATAGTCAACTAATCATGTAAGCAACTTCTGTTTGCTTAGAGCGTATAAAAAGTTTGATATTTGACGAGGAATCTCGTAATTGAAATGCAAATTCTTTATATCTCTAGCTCTTCCTTTTTAAAGTTAAATGAATATTTTCTTAATACTTTTCTTTCATTTTCCTCAGATTCAGGGATTGCGTCAATAAGTTTATATGTTGAGGTTTTTTAATTTAGGATTAACATCATTTGCTGATTTCATCATTATAGTCCATAAAAAATTTAAAATTTCTGAAATTTGCTAGTGGTCAATTTTTTTTTTTTTTTTGTGTATTTAAAATTGATATTTTTCTATACTGAATAACATTTTAAATATTAATAATATATTAAAGTAATTCAAACTTATCATTGGCCACTTAAAGTAATATTTTCTTTTGATAAAAGATTATTATTGGCCACCTAAAACTTTTCGAGTTCGTTATTAATTAAGCAAAAGAAAAACTAATTTTGTCATATTACATGCATGTCAAAAATCTAAATTCTAGTTGATATGGAAGGGTAAATGAATAATCTAGGGGTGGGGAATGAGGATTATAATTAATATTTTTTTAGTTTTTACTTTTTTTAAATATTAAATATTTAATAGTTAATTAATTTTTGGCCCACGGGCTTGCCAGACCCAACCTCGGTCAAGCCTCAAGGACCAGCGGGCTGACTTGGGTCGGGCTTATAAGCCTCAATTTTAAATGGGCTCAAAAAATCCTAACTCAACCCTATCCAAATAGCGGGTTGGGTTGGGCTAGCCTCACGGGCCAAGCCCATTTTGACTCTGCACATATCTCCTCCGAAGCTTAGATAGATTAAAAATACAAATTACTTCATGTTAATTTTGTTTGCTCTAAGTTAAATCCTAACTTTTCATGACTTTATCTACTTTATTAATTGCTAGACCACCATCCAAATACCTATGTCTGGGCCGTTCATACATTAGAGGAACATTAACTTTTAGAGTTGGATGTTGGTTCACCTTTGACTGGAATTGAGTGTTTGACAGTTTAGTCTTATGAGCTATACTTTAGTCACTCTACCATCAAAATCTTTATCTGATGATTGGTTTTGAGGATGGTAAAATCAATAAATTTACCACATTCTTAATCTTAACCATTTAATTTGTTCATCGTTTCAGCTCTTTTTTTTACTTATTTCACATTAGTCTTGAAATAGATGAATAAAATATGCCCTTGCAATAAAATAATGGAAGAAAGAAAAATATTATGATCCCCCGATCTTTATTCGGCTTACAGAATCTTATGTGAATTATTTTATGAGCAAAATAACATGTAACCTTCTATGGAGTAGATTCCGTGGTATAAGATATCTAGACTAGGTTATTTTATATGTTTTTGATACAGAAGGTTGCAAGTGGCCCTACATCTTAGGATCATATCAATAGCAATGAAGAAAATTGATTCTGTTAAATGGACAGTTTTGGTTAGTTAATGTCGACTTATGATTGAAATACTCTATTGGAGTGTCACATAACATAACAATAATAATAAGTAGGTATATATGAATGTTATGGTTGTCTAATTATTATGACCATACTGCTGGCCTGGAGAGATTGCAAAGCAAATTGAAACAATAGCACATGCAAGGAGTTGTCTTTTTTTTTTTTACACAAATCCAAACCATATCAGTTCAATAGATTAGGTATTAAATCATGTCCAATGAAATGGGGTCCCTTCCTATCTTCAGCCTATGCCAAAAAGTAGTCATGAGGCCCTTTTGAAGAAGAATTTAAGAGAAACTATTATGAGTTCAGAATTGTTTTTTGGACTACGGGCATTTGAATTTAAACACAAACTTGTAGTAGTAATGGAGATCAGTTTGTCCCATGACTAACTTTTAAGCAACTTTTGTCCTAAACAAAGCAGTTTAAAGTAAAATTTTCAAATACTACACTCCAGCTCATGAAAAGTTAAGTGACTACAAATTAACGACTCAGATATTTCAACTATTTCAATAAACACACATTTTTTACTTTCAAATTAGCCAATCATGAGTATATATATNAATCATATAACAATATGCACAAATAGAGCATATGAAGTGACACACTCTATGCAGGGCTGCTCAATAAAATTGGTGGTTTATAGCCAAGTTTAATATGAGGCATTTTGTTTTATAAAAAAATCATATTAATTTTTTATTTAAACTCTATTTTTCTAACTTTTTGAGATATAAAGTTATTAATATACATTCTTATAAGCCATTTGATCTCAACTGAGACATTGTTGATCTTAAATAATAGAACGTGATTCAAGAGGTTTATCAAAATAAATTGTTGATGCTTCAATATGTTTGCAGCAATTCTTGAAACTTGAGAAAAAATAAAAAATAATAATAAATGCACAACATATAATCTATCTATTATTAAAAGAAAAGAAGTTGCCATGAAAATTTGCCAAGTGTCGTGCGGAGAAATTGACATGTCTCATTTTTAGGACAAAATTAGTTGATTTAGGTTAGTTAGTTACGTACTTTATTTGAAATTTGAATTTAAAAAATATTAACTAATACTTCAGGTTGTATTACAAACGCAATTAACAAAATCCCTTTTTCTTCTTCGCTCTACAAACCCTAGCCTCCCCAACATCTCCAAAATCTCTCTCTCTCTAAACCCGTACAATGAAATACGTAGGGCAAAGATTTCATCTTCCCAAATCAAGAAGAAAAAAAACCCTCCAATGCTGGGATTCCATCAAATGATTCGAATTAAAAACCCCAAAATCAAACCGAGTATATGTTTTACGACAACCGCCATTTGCAACGGCTTACCGCATTGCAGGCACATATTTTAATTGTAAAGTTATGGCGTGTTGCATCCCCCAATCTCGCACCACGATCTCAACTCCTAACCCACCACCCATCTGCACCGATTTATCATTAGGATGATTTTACAGCCTTTTGAAATTAGTTTCCGACTTCCCAATTTAAATATATGTTATATGTTTTATTCTTTCTTCCTTCATGACTACTAGAGGTGAGTATAGAATTTGTAATTCATGAACAGTTCTTAAATTTCTGCAACAAATAATTAAGTACAATTCTCTTCGGTATTCGATCTCAAAATTCTCACAAGCTATTTTTTATGCTTGCCTGACAAATAATTAAGTACAATAGAGAAAAAAGCAAAATTATATACTACACTCACCATTTTACCGTGGATAATACATAACATATGTTTTTGCTTACATTTGGTGATTGGGTACATAAGTTGCAGAGATGTTCTTTATCTTTTGCAAGGTATTGTTTCATCACTTTTCTAAAGAGTCCATAGTCTGTGCATATTCACATGGTCTAGGCAAATTTCTTCAGTTCTCTTTGCACTTTAGATCATCCTTGATAGTTTAACGTGTCTTTACGAGAAAAATCATATTTTTCTGTAGGTACATCGGAACTATAATCCCATTTTTGATATAGGGAAGCAGACTTCTTGGACTACAATATATAGAAGAATCAAGTTCAGATTCGCAGTAGATTTATACAGGTATTTTTCTGAACTCGGTTTCGAATTTCTTGTATTATGCTTTTTACAGCTTCAAGCATCCCACAATCTCGCACCACAATTTCAATTCCTAACCCACTAACTCTTCTGGGTTGGATTTTCAGTAACATGATTTTAGAGCTTTTTGAAATCAGTTTTCTACTTCCCTTCTCCCTTGTGCACATATGTAACAACCCGGCCGGTCGTTTTAAGAGTTGTAACCTCGTTTCCTCATTTACTGCTCATTTTATGCTTAATAGTTATTATGTGACTTGCCGGGGTAGTTGGTTTAGTTCCGAAAATATTTTGATATGAGTTGAGGTGCTTAGTCTCAAGGTTTGAAAGCTTAAGTTGAAAAGGGTAATCAGATATGAATTATGTATAAATGGTTCCGGAATAGAGTTTTGATAGTTCCGATAGTTTCGTTGGGTGATATTGGACTTAGGAGTATGTCCGGATAGTAATTTGGAGGTCTGTAGTTGAATTAGTTAGGCTTGAAATGGCGAAAGTTAGAAAATTATAGGCTTTGGAAGTTTAGAAGTTTGACCGAGAGTTGACTATGTGGTTACCGGGATCGGATTGTGGTTCCGGGAGTTGGAGTAGGTCCATCGTGTCATTTATGACTTGTCTGCAAAATTTAAGCTCTATCGGACTTGATTTGATAGGTTTCAACTTCGATTGTAGAAGTTAGAATTCCTTAGTTTTCATTAGGCTTGAATTGGGGTGTGATTCGTGTTTTTGATATTGTTTGATATGATTTGAGGGCTCGACTAAGTTTGTATCGTGTTTTAGTGTTACAACCCATGTATTCATATGTAAGAGTACGTCGTAAGTCAATTGATATAAGCTCAGAAATGAAATCATCTTTGAAAAGTTTACAAAGTTAGTTAATCATGTTAATGTGGAGGTTACAAATATTTAAGATCATGAATACCAAGTACCAAGAGGGTTTGAAGGCTTAGAAGCTAAACTAATTGAAGAAAATAAGTTTCGTCGAAAGTCGACAAGTTGGGAATGTTATATATAACATGTATTTTTGGGGTAAGACTAGGGTGCTTAACATTATAAGGAGATTATATTAAGAGTTATTTTGGTCGTATGATAGTCGTGTATTATGTTTTGAAGTCTAGCGAGTTGTGGAACAAAAGTTGGAAAAGGTCATCATAAGTTGGATTCATAAATGTGTTGAACCTTAAGTCAAATGTAGTTGAGCTTTTCTCCCAATATACTTGGAATTAGGGGATGATCTCCATACCAAAATTGAAGATATACGAGTCTAGTTTCTAACGCATTAAACCGTTCATCAATACGACATCGGAGTAGAGAGATATTCACGTTTTCACGAGACCGCGGAAGTAGCTCTCAATGGGACCCACTTAGGCGGTGGACGACCCTTGAACATTTTAAAGAGCTTGGACGGCTTATTTTTTGTCATTTTCGACCAAGGACAGTTCCCAAAGCCTCTCAACACCTCTCTACCAGTTCTCAAGGGTTCCAAGTCGAATCCAATGGTGTTTTACCTAAACCTAACCTCAAAAGTTAGGCTAAGTGAAGAAGAGAGTCTCTATGGTGTTGTGATGTGATTAAGGATGCTTATAAGCTAAGAAAAGCTTTGGTTCGAGTTTTTCCAGATTATTTAAAGTATGTATAACACCCTTTTCTTGGGATTAATCTTATCTATGTGTTGGTTAAGTTATTTGGATGAAGAATTATAAGATAGAACTTGAAGTTGTATAAGAATTTGTTGTCTCTTATTGGACTATTTTGGAGTTGTATATATGACTTCATATGGCTGAAAATCGAGGGGAATAGCTTGGTTATAATGTTCTTATTGTTGTTATGCTTGTCAATATGTTGAGTATGTTGATGATGTTGTAATTAGGAGAAGACCCAACCACACAATACCTAAAAGTTATTCATGATCGTTGTTTTATCTTGTGTGGATGGTTGATGTTACATTTATGATGGATATAAGGTTGGAATGTCATGTCAATATATATGTTTATATGATGGACCTATTGTTGGTTTTGTAAGTATAGGGGATATGGGAAAAAGAGTTGGGATTTGGTTCCAATCCAAGCTTGTCGCTCGTCGTGTTAAATAGCAGTTTTGTGTGTGACGTTTGTGCACTTGTTGTTGTGTTGATTGATTAGTGTTGTTGGGCTGTTGTTATATGGTATTGGAGAAGGCCCTTGTTACGGGGAGATGCCACCCAAATTTACATAAACGAGCTACTAGCTTAAGTTACGGACTTAGCCTTTACTCAACACCGATTTTGAATCTCCTTATGCTATGGTAGATTGAGTGGAGTTGTTTGAAGAGTTGCTTGTAAGCTATTAAGGACTCAACGAGGTTAAGGTATGTTAAGACTAAACCTTTTCTTCATTTTGGCATGATCTCGTAACTACATGAGTTTGATAACAAGACATAAAGAGAAGTTCGTATTCCTGAACTTATGTACATTATCCTAGTCTCATAAGTTATAGTATTCTCCCTTATCGAAACTTTATATTCAGTTAAGTATTATTTTCTTCCAGTCAAGAGAGCATAGAGTCTATATATATACAGTATTATAGTACTTTCACCACCATCAAGCTATAATCGATGGGCAGGACCCTATTGGGCAACCTTTGATCAGATGGTAAGTTATATACCGAACCTACTGTAGCCAAGCGCCTATGAGCGAGCCCAGAATAGCCGAGATACAGAGCCTAATATAGCCAAACGCCTATGAGCGAGCCTACTACGACAGAGCAGTTATATGTACCGAGCCTTATAGGGCCAGACAATTATTTTATTTACTATATTGATAGAGTTGAGTCAGTATCAACAGGTAAGCATATTTCAGATCATCTTTGACTCCCAGTTACTTTCAGTTATTATATTATCAATTCAGTTTCAGCTTTCAATTATTTTGTTGCCTTACATACTCGGTACATTATTTCGTACTGACATCCCTTTTGCTGGGGATGCTGTATTTCATGCCTGCAGGACCTGATAGACAGCTGGATAGACCTTCCCAGCAGACAGAGTCAAATATTAGCTTGGTTGGTAAGCTCCATTCCCTCGGAGTTACCAGGTCTAGACCTTGGAGTCTATTTTATAAATACAGGTTTGATGGGTAGGTCGAGGCCTTGTCCCGACCATTGTACAATTCAGTTTTCTTTAGAGGCTTGTAGATGAGTCCTGTATATTTTGTATATCAGTAGATATATTCATATTTGTATGAGCTTTTCGGTATGTTTAACCCTCAGATGAGAGAGACGATACTTTCAGATGATTCAGAATATGGCCTCATCGGCCTAAGTTGAGGGTTACCCCTCCAGAGTTCACAATTACAGAGTGGTACGCTCGGGCCAAATATGGAACCAGGTGCCGGCCATGCCTCCCCAGGTTTGGGGCGTGACAAACTTGGTATCAGAGCAGTTCTATCCTAGGGAGTCTACAAGCCGTGTCTAGTAGAGCCTTGTTTATAGATGTGTTGTGCACCACATTATATAAAGAGGAAGCTAAAAGGCATTTAGGAATCTGTTACCCTTCTTTCAAATCCAAATCGTGCTATAGATCTGAGTCATAAGACTTCGAGTCAAGACTTATGTTTGCTAATGATATAGAGATGTTTTCAATTAGAAAAAAATTACAGCTAGCCAGAGGGCTAATATAGCAACAAGTAAGGGCACTAATTGAGAGAGAGTTCTTGACGACGTGGCCCTGTTTGAGGCCCTATTAGACCGTGCATACCAGATGTGCAAATTTCCAGCTTAAGACCCTAAGATGGGAATATCAAATACACCCCGTGAATAGCAGGCCATGGGAGTATCATAAGGTAAAAGTTTAAGTTTCAACATGTAATTGAAGCAAGGTGAAGGAGGGTACGAGGTATCCTGTTAGTGAAGATTATTAATATTTACAATTCAGGCAGAGAAATACAATTACTCTGAGTTTACTTCCAACAGTAATAGAGGTATGTACAATTGGCCACACCCATCTCAGTTATGCCCAATGGAAGCTAGATGGGATATCAGGATCCAGTTGGGGTTAGAGTAACCCAAAATTGTGGAATGAGCCAGGGGAGCTAAAAGTGAAACAAGGTTTTGTTGAAGTTTTCAGAATAATGTGATAGACAGAAATATTGGCAGGAGAATAAGAAGAGAGTAAATGAAGCATTACAAGTAAGGTATGATAAATGGGTGATAACGGTAAATCAAAATATGACAAGATGACAGAGTCTATAGTCAAGTGAAGGAAAAGACAATAGATGACATGCCTTGAGACAATAAGAGAGTATAAGCTGGTGACTCCCACGTGATTACCAACAAGCTAAGTTAGACCCCGGGAGTAATAAAAATTAGTATGGGCTAGTAAACAAGATAAAACCGAACATGATTTAGGGACTGAAGGATTTGATAATAGTCATCATCGTGAGAATTTCAGAGATCACATTTCGGCAATGATAGAATGGACAACGGAAGAATAACCTTTAAAGGTCATTCAGGAAGACGCTTCCCTAAAGCAAGCACTGTGAGCAGAGTTAAGATTAAGAAACTAAGTGTGCCAGTTACACTAGGTGTCACCCTCACACGTAAGAAATTCAGTTATCTATGGTAGAGAAGGGTTACCGCAAAGCGAGTAAGAGTCAGTGAAGACGTGAAAAGACGCCAAGGATGAAGAGGTAAAGCATATATAGGTAAATCTTCATTGCATTAAATGCCAGTACTCCCCTAAAGGGAGGAAGACGGTGTGATCTGGTATTAAGTCGGAGTTATGTAGTTCAAGTAGCTATGGAATAGTAAAGAAAGAATGCGGTAAAAGGCAAAAGGAATAAGATTGCATTTATTTAGATCCTACAGATATGTTACGACTCCAGAACATTGTTCAAGCACGATGTCGGGGAGAGGCAGTAAGGGTTCTCGACCAGGATGTTATTGATAAATAAGTGTGAATGGACACTTGATACATTAGGAGCCAGTGCGAAAGGCAAGTTAAGACAAAAGACATAATCCAAGAGAGTTTACACAGAATATAGATATGAGCATGGACTGACGAGTAGTTAGTAGTTGATCCAGGAAGAGCCTAGTTATGGCTAGACAAGAGGTCTCAAATAAATCAACAGATCATGCAAGATAAACGTAGTGAAACCCAGCACAGAAAATTCTGCCTCACAGATATGACATCGTAATCCTTGAGAAATATTCAGATAGGAGTTGGGGTAGTTAAAGGTATCGTATCAGTATTACAGAAATAAAAGAGAGTGCCATTGGGGAGATAGTTAAAATTTTAGTTCAAAAGTAACCCTACGAGCACAAGGGCGCAGAGGTAAGTAACTAAGGATAATTATAGGTGAGTAAGTACATCAAAACTTTTGTTGGGTATACGATGTAAAAAGCTCCCATGTTTACATAAGTCAGAGGGTCTTTCTTAAATGCTACAACGAAAGACTAGCTGAGAAAATAAGAAAGAAGGATTCAACATAAGCATAGTGACCTAAAGAAGAAATGATCTGGTAATAACAGTCTCACTACAACATTATATGCACTCTAAAACAAAGTAGCACCTGTCGTGACTAAGGAACGGGGAGTAAAATCAAAAGTAATATTCAAGATCATATGAGTTGCACGAAATTCAAATAGGTGTGGGCACTAAGATAAGCCAAATATTCATGCAACAAGTGACAGAACGACCAGGAAAAGTAATTGGTTACTTTTAAAGAAAGCCGAGAAGGCACGAAAGGAATTATTCGATCAATGACCCAGAGTTAGTTACATTATGAACGCACTTAATATTTCGGACTATTATCCACGCAGCACATATGTTGACATTCCTACAGCTATAGGAGACTCCAGTATAAGTTAAAAGAAAGAATTGAGTCCACCTCACAGACAATGGATTGAATTGTTAGAAGATTATATTATGGATGTTCCATAGCGCCCACGAAAGGCGAAAGCAATAACTAATACCCTGAGCCCCAGATCGAAAGATAGCTTAAGCCTATTTAAAGGCTGAGAGAGAAGAAGAAACTAAAGAGTTACATCAGCTAAGTAAATCAAGAGTCTGATTATTAGATCTAGATAATTATAGAAATCATGATTCAGAACATTGCAGAATCACTCTTAATATCGGAGGTACGATATAAATAGTACAACGACCATATTCTATAACGGCTCTAAAATAAAGCTAGTTGGAAAATTACCAGCCTCATAAGGAGTAAGTATAAAGCTCTCACCGGATTGTGTATGCACTAGAGGTGCAAGTATTATAGTAGAGCTTTAAGTTGTGGACGTGAATTCCACTTATGTGGAAGGAAGGTTATGAAAACGACAGAAGATACAATGCAAGATTCAAAGATAAGAAAGGTAAAGGTAAAGAAGGTAGAGATACTAAAGTGCAGAAGGTTGTGAATAGTCCAAACTTCAGACAGTAAAGACAGTTGCCTAGATGGAAAGGACAACAATAAAGTATTTGTAAGAGCTATAGGTTATGAAACTGATAAGCGCATCAGTCAACATTCGAGGACGAATGTTCCAAAGGGGGAAATGATGTTACAACCCATGTATTCGTATGTAAGAGTACGTCATAAGTCAATTGATGTAAGCTCAGAAATGAAATCATCTTTGAAAGGTTTACAGAGTTAGTTAATCACATTAATGTGAAGGTTACAAATATTTAAGATCATGAATACCAAGAGGGTTTGAAGGCTTAGAGGCTAAACTAATTGAAGAAAATAAGTTTCGTCGAAAGTCGACAAGTTGGGAATGTTATAACATGTATTTTTGGGGTGAGACTAGGGTGCTTAACATTATAAGGAGACTATGTTATGAGTTATTTTAGTCGTATGATAGTCGTGTGTTATGTTTTGAAGTCTAGTGAGTTGTGGAGCAAAAGTTGGAAAAGGTCATCACAAGTTGCATTCATAAATGTGTGAAACTTAAGTAAAATGTAGCTGAGCTTTTCTCCCAATATACTTGGAATTAGGGGATGATCTCCCTACCAAATTGAAGATATACGAGTCTAGTTTCTAACGTATTAAACCGTTCATAGATACGACATCGGAGTAGAGAGATATTCGTATTTTTGCTAGACCACGCAAGTAGCTCTCAATGGGACCCACTTAGGTGGTTGACGACCCTTGAACCTTTTAAAGGGCTTGGTCCCAATCCAAGCTTGCCACTCATCGTGTTAAATAAAAGTTTTGTGTGTGACGTTTGTGCACTTGTTGTTATGTAGATTGATTGGTGTTGTTGGGCTGTTGTTATATGGTATTGGAGAAGGCCCTTGTTACAGGGGAGATGCCGCTCAAATTTACATAAAGGAGCTACTAGCTTAAGTTACGGACTTAGCCTTTACTCAGCACCGATTTTGAATCTCCTTATGCTATGGTAGACTGAGTGGAGTTGTTTGAAGAGTTGCTTGGAAGCTATTAAGGATTCAACGAGGTTAAGGTATGTTAAGACTAAACCTTTCCTTCATTTGGGCATGATCCCGTAACTACATGAGTTTGATAACGAGACATAAAGAGAAGTTCGTATTCCTGAACTTATGTACATTATCCTAGTCTCATAAGTTATATATTCTCCCTTATCGGTACTTTATATTCAGTTAAGTATTATTTTCTTCCAGTCAAGAGAGCGGAGGGTCTATATATATATATATATATACACAATATTACAATACTTTTACCACCATCGAGCTATAATCGATGGACAGGCCCCTATTGGGCAACCTCTGATAAGATGGTAAGTTATACACCGAGCCTACTATAGCTGAGCGCCTATGAGCGAGCCTAGAATGGCCGAGATACAGAGCCTAGTATGGCCGAGCGCCTATGAGCGAGCCTATTACAGCAGAGTAGTTATATGTACCGAGCCTTATAAGGCCGGACAACTATTTTATTTACTATATTGAGAGAGTTGAGTCAGTATCAACAGGTAAGCATATCTTCAGATCATATTTGACTCCCAGTTACTTTCAGTTATTATATTATTATTTCAGTTTCAGCTTTCAGTTATTTTGTTGCCTTACATACTCGGTACAT